CTGCTTAAAGCTCCAGCACCCAAGACAGCTCTTTGTCACCTATGGAATCCCTTATATAAACACAGAAACATACACTGGCTTGCTTCATTGGGAAAGGTGATATATGCAGTAGCCCAAGTCCAGCTTCTTAATGTTGGCTTTACTTTTTTAAATAAGTAACAACACACAAAGGTATGCATAATCCCAGTCTCCACCCACAACAGAACCTACGATCAACAGAATAAACTTGCTCCCTTGTACTTTGCAGATGGGTGTGAAGAGTCACCCATGACCTCCTTGAGTTGGGGAAACAAGGCTCTGAAGCTGATCCTTAGAAATAACATCTCACAGGAGCTGCCCCCAGATAAAACTGTGCTCTGTTGTCCTAATCTGGTCGATTCATTGACCCCTATAGCCAACCACCAGTATTATTTTGAATGTTGCAAGCAAACGCCGTTTTCACAGGATAGTACTTTCCCCCCCATAAAGGAGGTTTTCATCTGGCAGCCTTTGTGAAGTCAAAATTATTGGCCTAAGCAAAGAGCATCCATTCCAGCTACAGCAGTGTTTTTCAACCTTAGCAGTTTGAAGATGTATGGACTTCAGCTCCCAGAATTCTGGGAGCTGAAGTCCATACATCTTCAAACTGCCAAGGTTGAAAAACACTGAGCTACAGGGAAGAAAACAATACAGGTTAACAGGAAGTAGAGCAATGTCCCAGAGATGGTTGGTTGTAGTTGGACACATCTACAGAGGAAAAACAAAATCAGAATACACTATTATTGGGTCTTGGGAGGAAGCATGAGTCCCTTGATATATTTGGAACAGGGATTGGAATTAGGCACAACGCTCAAATTATTTTACCAAAGTAAATCAATATTCCCCAAGAACACAAGGTGTTCAAAAGCTACTGCCAGAAACATCACTGCACAAGAGGTAGCTGAAGTATGTCAGAGAAGGTGATAGACCAGAAATATTAAATGCTTTTGCCCAAAGGAGAGGTGGACTAGAAAACTCCAAATTACTTCTTCAGACTCTCACTGTTGGGATGTAATAAAAGAACACAACCAAATACATCAGAATCAAAAATGGAATACAGAGGTAACAACCTCAGAAACACAACCGGTGGGCCTGGATATTGTGTCAAATGGAATCGAGCAAGATAATTGCAACAGGACTGCCCAAACTTTGTTCAAGCCGAGAATCGTATCTCACCTTTTAGCGGCTCAGGAGGTCTGGACGTCTGCCAACACAGGTCAAAGAAGTAGACAAGGCCAGGACAGAAACTAAACGTGTTTTAATTTAAATGTAATCAAACTTAATTAAATACACATAATAAGATCACTTTGCCCCTTCTGTTAGACTAAAAAAAAATTACAATTCCATCAACGTATCTGGAGAAGCCCCCCTCAAAAGACTTTGGAGAGGCTGGGTTTGGCCCAGGGACTGTAGACTGTATTCCCCAATGTTGCAGTGACAAAAAAAAGGGGAGGGGGAGCTTGGAGGTATCTGTTATAACTCTCTATCCATCCCCAGTTTCAAAAGTTCCAGTCTGAGGAAGCATCCCAGAGATCAGTGTTTCTCAGCCTTGGCAACTTTAAGGCATGTGGAGTTCAACTCCCAGAATTCCACAGCTAGCATGGCAGGCTGGGGAATTCTGGGAGTTGAAGTCCACATGTCTAAACCTTGCCAAGGTTGAGAAATACTGCCATAGATGATTTGGAATGAGAACTACAATTCTCAGCCAGCACATCCAGGACCCTGTCAATGAATTCTGGAATTTATAGTCCAATATATCAGATTAAAGAAGACAACTCTACAAGATACAACATAAATTGGGTCTGGAGATTAGACACATATACCCTGGAAAAAGTGGGGCGTGGATGGCTGCACAGAACAGGTTGAATGTTCCCGTGGAGAAATGAGAAGCTGCCTCACCCTGAGAAATGGACAGAAATGAAGAAAATCAGTCATACAGAAAACCAATATTGAGAGATGAACTTCTTTTCAACTTGGGGGCTCTGCAGATTTACCTTGACTAATTATCATTGTAGCTTTAACCTTCAAAACCTTTTTTTTCTATCCCCTATTTAAGGACAAAAGCTAAGCTGGCGTCGCTGGGTTTCACTACTCTATTGTGGAAGATGGACATCTTTCTAACCTTTCAGAATGTTCAAAGAGTCTTGGACGAAGGCTCGGTGACTCTTACTACGTTCCTCTGAGTAGAAAGAGGAAGGAAAAAGGCTGAAGTTGAGAAAACGGTTTTTTGCTGGTTGGAAGGTACCTGCTGAATTTATGACCAAGCAGCAATCTGAATGGGGGGTTCCCCCATCCACCACTAATGCTCTAAACCAGTTTTTCTCAACCTCGGCAACTTTAAGCTGTGTGGACTTCAACTCCCAGAATTCCCCAGCCAGCCATGCTGGCTGGGGAATTCTGGGAGTTGAAGTCCACACAGCTTAAAGTTGCAAAGGTTGAGAAACACTGCTCTAAATTGATAAGGGAATGACAAAAATGTAGAAGCAAAAGCAAAGAAACTGGTCATTGAATCGTGGGTATGAAAGATTGGGGGAGACTGGGAAAATACCAGGAGGAAAGTGAGACAGAAATAACCAAAAGATAAGCTACTAACAAACTCCTATCTCATACGTGGAAGTTCAATCCCAGCTGCAAAAAACTCAGGAAGATGACACTCAAAACCTTCAAAAAACCTCTGCCTTAATGAACTTAAAGAAGAGGAGTGGAGAACCCGGTCAGTGTTTCCAAGATTCTGTACCCTCACCCTTAATCGTTGCGTTCAAATCTCTTACTAAAGTCTGTAATTCTCACTTCCTGGATCATGGCCTGCCGTGAGGGCTTGACCGTAGGCTGGGTTCACATAACCCAGTTAGCCACTAAACAGTCATAGCTGTTTGATCCGTTCATACCAATCGCACTAACCTCATCCTAAATGGTCTCCACCCACTTCTCCAATCCAGTCTGAGACCCCACGAATACAGGTTTTATGCCAAGCAAGCAGCTTGGGGGCTACCACCAGTATTTGGGAGACCCTTCCGTGTTCCCAGATCTTGGCAGGGATGTTAATAAGGGAGTGCCTAATGCTATCAGCCACTCTGCAGCTCTGGAGGATGAGTGGGCAAGGTTTGGTTGACCAGTTAACCATCTTTAGATGTCTGCAATGTAGCTCATTGGGAGAAGATAGATGGGTTCGCAATGACCCCAGTAATTTGGGATTAAAACTGTCCCTCTTTTCTTCCCAAATCAACCTATTCCAATAGATCTTATCCCAAGGATGAATTTTCCCAATACTCAGCTAACATCTGCTTCCACTCCTACGTCTTCTGCACAACACCCACAAAATCTTGCAGAGCAAAGCCAGTTTGGATGATCAGATCCCCTTGCACCCCCCTAATATCAAATGACACAACAAATTTTCTTTGGTTTTGAACTTTATTTGGACTTCAGCCTGAATGTGTGTGAATGAAGCTGGGTTCACACCTGGCTAGGCCTTAATAGAGGTGGCCTAACTTTGGCTTAGTGTGTTGTGTGAGCCTTCCCATGCAGTTAACCATGGTTAAGATTAACTAAGTCTAAGTGATACACTATGCTCACATGTTGGCTAAAAGGTCAGACTAAAAGTGGGAAGACACAAGGTTAAATCCCTAGTCAACAACACACAAAGTTGTCTATCATTTTCTCTCCTACTAGCCTACCTGACTATCTTGCCCTGTGGGGGGTGCTACGTTGGGAAAGGATACATCGGTAATGGTGGGTGGGAATATCCTTGAAATACAGGAGGAGGAAGGGCCACAGACAGGGCAATGGTCAGATAAGAGGCAGCTTAGCCCACAGGACGAATAGGGGTGTGGTAAACATCTCAGAAGGGACCCTCTCTGATTGCCTGGAAAGTAAAGGTGAGGGGGGAGAGGTGGGCTTTCAGACTTGCAAGATTCTGTTACTGTAATCTTACAGAAAAGGTAGTGTTAGTACTCATGGTGCTGGTTTCTTGTCTGCACTACCTTGAAGGGCTGACAGCATTTGAACAGGAAAAGCAACCTATAGCTGTAGGCATTCATCACCCCCTTCTGAATTTACTGCTCTGAATTGAGAGGGCATTCCCCCCGCCCATTTTGAAGTAGAAAGCACAGCGAAAAAAAATGTGTAAAATAGTATAACCAATAAGACAAAACCCTCAACATTTCCCTTAACATTGGGGGGAGGGGGTTATTTTAAAATTCCTGGTCCCACCTGACACACCCTCCTTTTATTTTTTCTGAATGCTTGTCCTGCTCACAGTGGCCTCATTTTGGCCCCCCTCCCCAACTTCTAAGTACAGGCCTGGCTACTGAGATTATCCACTGCTGTGTAAGAGGAAGTCCATGGAGAATCTTCCAACCTGAGATCTTTTCCATTACAGCAGAATCTTGGATCCTTCCTCTAAGACAGTGTTTCTCAACCTTGGCAGCTTTGCTGGCTGGGAAATTCTGGGAGTTGAAGTCCACTCATCTTCAGGTGGCCAAGGTTGAGAAACTCTGCTCTAAGATGATGCTCTTTTCCCTTAGTCAGACACACGTCCTTCTGGTGATGAGAACCACCCTCAAAACTACATTTGCTGCTTCTGAACCCGTCCTCTGCAAGCTCCCTATCCTAATTCTCTGTCTACTCATGTCTTTACCCAGCATTTTGTAAGAACAGGAGAGCGCCTGCTGGATCAGGCCAAAGGCTCACCGAGTCCAAGATCATGCATCCAGATGTGACCAAACTGGATCCCCTTGGAAAAAATCCACCAGCAGCATCTGAAAGCAGGAGCGTGTTCAGACTTTATTCTGCACCATCTGGAAGCCAGAAGCTTCCACTCCCAATCTTTGTGATAAGGTGGAGCCCTGCAAGCGGACCGTGATCAACAGCTTAGCTCCATGAATCTAAAAGTTGGTCGCCGTGGCTCTCTCGTTGAGCTGCAAAACCCAGTTAGCTATGCATGGTGCAAACCAGGACTTGTTTGTTCCGAATCTCTCCTCATTCAATGTTTCCAGAGGAGCCCAGCTTATACTACTTAGGTCAGGGGGCAAATCCCCCCCCCCTTCATCATGTTCTCTATTCTATGCATACATTTTATACAAATCTATCAAGTCTCTCTTCCCCTTATGCGTGTTCTTCTTAAACACACGTGCATCTTAACCATTAGATGCTTAGCAACCTGGAAGCCACTGTATCCAAACCTATTTTCTCCTTGATTATTAATATTGACTACATGATACAGTCAAAAGACATGCTCCTTTGAAATTAATTTGTCAGGGGTGCCTACAATTGGGGACTAGAGCTATTAGAGATGGAGGAGACCAAATGTCCCCCTCCTCCTCCTCTGCCACCCCTTCCTTCTCTTAGCACAGTGGGGATACCCACGCCCTGCCATAACGGGGTTTGTTCAGATTTATCTTCCCAGACTGGGTGAATCAGTCTGCTGTGGTTTGTAAACCATGATTTATGCCTTAGCCCATTTTTGCAAATCCTGCCACTGGACTGTTGCTAGGCAAACCACGGTTTAGCAAAATGTGGCTCATTCACAGAGCTTCCCACCAAACAATGGCAGGATTTGCTGACTTTGGGCAAACTTACAATCCACATAAGCTTTGATGAATCACTTGGCACATCAGATGAAGCCAGCCGCTGCTTACAAAAGTGTACGCCTTTTTATAAATTGTGTTCGTTGGAAAAGGTGCTACCAGACTCTTTCTGATTTTTTGCTACGACTTCACAAGTGAACGTGTATGCTTTGCGAGGGCAGGTTATTCAGGGTTAATTAAACCCATTGCCTGCGGGGACACCTTTGGGTCAGTCAAAACAGCATCCACCTAAAAGGGAGGTAGGGATGTGCTTGGGAAACCCAAAGCTATAGAGAAGAATAAAACATGATTTCACAAAAAAGACCCCTAAATGGGAAGGGGGAGGCCTAAAACAGCTCAGTAATTGAGCAAGTTATTCAGGTATGCCTGTTAGATGCTGGTGTCTTTGGAAAAAGGAAGGGCATAACGCTAGAAGGAACGGAATGGAGTATGCTGGAGGAGGGCAAGGCTGGCTGGAATATCTTGCAATCTTCTGTTCCAGACCCTTCTCTCTTTTGTAATATACAATTTTGTATATCCTTGCAAATAAGCTGAGAATTTTAGGCTCCAAAACATGCCCCAAAAATCGGATCTGGCTTCTCTGTGAGTATGTAATGGTAATACTTTTTTAAAGGACCCAAATATCCTGTATAATCCTATCTGTGGCTAAGCAGACCCTTGAATTTTTAATGCAAATACTGTAACAAATGCGGCTTATCTGGGCGGCACGTTTTTCACAGTATTTTGGTGAAAAATTCGAGGGTCGGTCTATCCACGGATGGGCTTACACATGAGTCTAGACACATGACTTCTACACTGTGAAAACTCCAGCAGAGGGAGGCAACAGGCATCCGATTCAGAACGCCTCCCAGCCGCCTGAACCAGACGCACTGGCCTTCTAAAACTGGGGATTCCTGGACACGGTGCATAACCTGCAGTGACCACTACGTGGAACGTGGCTGCTGCCCGGGAGGGCAGGGAGCAGGCTGCTCCATCAAAATGCACAGCTACTTTAGCGTGCCAATCCAAACGTCACAAAACCACAGGCAAGTTTTTGACATTGGCTTCAAGTTGGATTTTAGCAATGCTGAGAAGGGTGGAGCGGGGAGAGGAGAAAAAGTAAAGCCTATGAAATATATTCTAGTTCTCTGAAAAGATTTTGCCCAACTCTGGATTTTTTCTGTTGGGTTTTCACAGACTAAGAGGGTTCTCTTTGCTTTTTAGCTGCTGAATCCGACTCAACGGTATCTCAGCCTTCTTCTTCCAGAGACCAAAGATGCTTTTTCACTTATTACTCACAGATATTCTGCTCCTGAATGTGGGGGATCTACAGAGTTATCAGGTAGCTAATTACAGCAGGGGGTGTGCTAATAATGGAAGGCTCAACATTTGCTGGCTTAGGGTCTCGGGGAAGCCCGCTTCGAAGCTCTCTTGTCTGCACAAGGCTTTGCTCTCTTTCTAAAACCAACCGACAATCTGAGCTTCCATCCTTTATACTACCCTATTTTTTTTTTCAGCCTACCTCTATCTTCCAAAACCACCACACTAATTCTATAGCCTGGCATTCTCTAGTCTCGCATCCTGCCCGCACAACGCAGGGCTGCCAAATTCCAATACCTTAGGGACTAGCACCCTTGCTAGAAGTATCACAAGGACAGGCTCCATCCTAAGGGAGAGACTCAGCACCAGTCAGAGAGGGGACATCCTGCCCATGAAGTCGCTCGGGCCCTGCTCAGCCCCCTCCCACAAGCCGCCCCTGTGGTAACTCTCGGCAGAGTGGTTCTTCTGATGGGTGGTCAGTAGCGAGTGCGAACTGAAGCTCCTCCCGCATTCGTTGCAGATGTAAGGCGTGTATATGGAATGTGTCCTCATGTGCCGCGTGAGTTTGGAACTCGAGATGAACCTCTTCCCACACTCGGTGCAGCCGTAGGGCCTCTCCCCCGTGTGGACCCGCTGGTGCGTGTTCCGAGTCGATAGATGGCTGAAGCTTTTCCCGCAAACATTGCAGCGGTACGGCTTCTCGCCCGTGTGGATCCGCTGGTGCTTGCTCAGGTTGGAGCTGTAGCTGAAGCTCTTCCCGCACTCGGGGCAGCTGTAGGGCTTCTCGCCCGTGTGGACCCGCAGGTGCTTCGTGAGATCCGAATTCTGCTGGAAGCATTTCCCACAGTCTGGACAACCATAGCCATAGGGCATCTCTTCCATGTGGATCCTCTGGTGAGTGACCAGGCCCCGGTGCTGGCTGAAGCATGCCCCACACTCAGAACACACATAGGGCATCTCCCCGGTGTGGGTCCTCTGATGGATCAGGAGGTTGGAGCGCTGGGCAAAACATTTGCTGCACTCCGGGCACTGGTGGGGCTTCTCGCCCGAGTGGATCCTCTGGTGCTTCAAAAGGTTGGAACTCTGCCGGAAGCATTTCCCGCACTCGGGGCAGGGGTATGGCTTCTCCCCCGTGTGGATCCGCCGATGGATCGTAAGGCTCGAACGCTGCGTAAAATGCTTCCCGCAGTCAGGGCACTGGTGCGGGCTCTCTGCTGCATGGACCCGCTGGTGTTTGAAGACAGCCGGGCTTGGGCGGAAAGTAATCCTGCTGTCGGGGCCTTGGGAGATCCTCTGGCCCAGCTGGGCTCTGCCAGGACTCTTCAATCCGTTTTCAGTACTTCGATTAACCGACTTCTCGGCGTGGTCCCCATTGGAGCTCCCCAGGTCTGAAACAAAAGGGAGCGAGAGGCCTTACTTGGCCCAATAACATCAGCTGTCCCACCACCTGCCCTCCACAGTCACTTCCTGGCTGGATTACTGTAACTCGCTCTACGTGGGGCTGCCCTTGAAGAGCATTCGCAAGCTGCAGCTGGTCCAGAATGCAGTGGGGTGGGAAGTCTTGGGTGCTTCACGATACACCCACGTGCAATTCAAGAGGGCAGTTGCCACCTATAAAGCCTTATGTGTGCAGGACCATTGATACCCAATCGTTTCTGCTTGCCCCACCAGAACTGGCAGGTTTGGCATGCTCCAGGTCCCTTCTGTTACAAATATCCTGTGGGATCTAGGAGTCACACCTTCTCTGTTGTGGTACCACCTGCCCTATAGCACAGCATCCCCTCCCCCCCACCAGACAACCCCAGCTCTTCTGGCTTTGTGCAAGGCATTAAAGATCTGGATGTTAACCCAGGAGCTGGGGCCAGGAGGTTCAACCAGCCCTGTCAGTGAATTGTTGTTGGTCTGTATGAATTAATGTTGGATTTTTAGGCCACGGCATATGTTACGTATTATCAGATTTCTAACGGTGGATTATGTTTCTATCTATCTATCATCTATCTATCTATCTATCTATCTATCTATCTATCTATCTATCTATCTATCTATCTATCTATCTATCTATCTATCTATCTATCTATCTATCTATCTATCTATCTATCTATCTATCTATCTATCTATCTATCTATCTATCTATCTATCTATCTATCTATCTATCTATCTATCTATCTATCTATCTATCTATCTATCTATCTATCTATCTATCTATCTATCTATCTATCTATCTATCTATCTATCTATCTATCTATCTATCTATCTATCTATCTATCTATCTATCTATCTATCTATCTATCTTATCCCTGCCCATCTCCCCCCAGTGGGGGACTCTGGGCGGCTTACAACAGATTAAAGCAATAAATAAATATATAGTTAAAATTTATAAGAAAACACATTTACACAGAGTAAGCCTCTGTATGCTGCCCAGAGTCAATGCCATGGGACTGGTGGCTAAATAAATGCTTTAAATAAGTAAATACATGGGATAATTAAATGCTTTCACAGACAGAAATAGCAGCTAGAGCTGAGTAATGCCTGCAGGCTGCTATCTAGGTTTCAAGATAACCATGCCCTCTTTGAGGATGTGATATGTCAGAGGCCTACAACCTTTTTTGAGAACTACACTTGGCATTTGGGAAGGCCATGTGCAAAAGTGGGGGGAGACAAGGAAATCTAACACTGGTTTAATTGAATTAAATTAATGCCTTCAATAAATAGAATGATTTACCGCGGCATTAGCAATGTGCCTTTTCTGTGGTATTTAGAATGGCAACCTGGCATTGCTGAAGGGGCTTGAAGATTTTTTTTTTTAATTAAATGTATTTTGTTTTATTGTAGTTGTTGCAAATATCATGGTTTCCTGGACAGTCTCGTTGTCTGATTACTTCATCTGAGATCCAACCTTGCAGATACTTGCCAACTGGGTTTTACTTATTAAAGCAGTGTTTCTCAACCTTGGGAACCTTAAGACGTGTGGACTTCAGCTCCCAGAATTCCCCAGCCAGCATGGCTGGCTGGGGGATTTTGGGGGTTGAAGTCCAAACGCCTTAAGGTTTCCCAGGGGGGGAAACAGGGTGTTTAAGTAAAGCCAAACAAAGAAGCCA